AGAATTGAAATTCCAAAAAAGTGCAAGTTCAGTTTGCTGGTTTTCAAGAAAAGGTCAGTTACAGGTCACGTTGCCAGAAGTGTGACCATTACCATTAGAAAAGTGATAGTATAATCTGAAACCACTGTTTTGCTGGACGGGGATAGAGCAGTAGCATAAATTGACTTTGAATATGACGAAGGTGCATTTGTTGAACAATTCACGGAAAAACTGGGATAATTACCGGGGCCAAAACATCCCGTTATATAGGGAAATGTTTGTGTCGCAAAATAAGCGTAGTTACCAATTGAATCGTAGAACATACCGTTGCACATATCGAAACCACTTGTTACCTAACAAAAAATTGAAGCAATTAACTGCATGATAGATTCTTAATCACTAACAAATACACATTGAAAGATATGATACTATATGTTGGAAGGAAGTTTTACTCACAAAAATATATGTATTTTGCGACGGAGGGGGACGGGGTACTCCGCGCTCTTGATAATTACGCTGGAACAACCCCAAATTTTACGGAAAATTTGGATGAGAGGAGCTCCGATTGCGGACGGTACCCTCCCCGTGGGGAAGTATCCCCTGCCTTGGCCTGCTCGCGCCCCCTTCCTTTATTCGATTCTAGTCTCTTTCATCTTACTATTACTTTCTTTGCCTGGAGGCACCAGTCAGAACAAAAGTCAAGGACTTGCAATCTTTTTCTCGTCACACGATAAGCAACTCAAATTGTTAAGGGAAGAAAGTAGCTATAGGCTCTGTTTCTTTTTACCTGTGTTCCGGTGGAGTCATAGGGTCCGTAAATAACATGACCATCTTTAGCTATTCCAATTACGGTTAAAGCGCGATACGAGCTATATAATGAAATAGCATAGCTGGCAATACTTGAAATGCAAGACGTCATTGCACATGCTGAAATAGCACTCGATGGTGGGTTCAATGCACAGCCTGATCCAATATGATAATGGTAGATGTTATTTATATTTGGATGTCCTAAACATGTGTCCACCGTTTCGGCTGTAGCACCCACCGGTGGATAAAACGGATCAATACTGTTCGCACTGTTCACATTCAGAATAGCAACACCATCGACACTGACACCCGCGACCGTGTTCAATAAACTGGTACCATAGGACACCAGATTCGATGCAGATGGAGCCGACCCTTCAATATTGATATTGCAAACAATCGAACTCAACGCCGACGCAGTTGTGGGATTCTGATTCGGCGAATTGACGCTAACATCGGGATTGAAATTCACTGCGAAGTCAATATTTTGTTCAGAAAATAACGCAGGCGCATTAGGACAAAATCGAGGAAGCCCATTTGACTGGACACGAATGCGAACAGTTGTACTTCCGGAACATGTGACACACAGCTTGTGATAAAATGTACATGTACCAGCGGAAAAAGTGCCAGGACATGTTGAAGAAGTGAATCCTGAGGTGCATGTCAAACTATAACCAGTTGTGGCAGTAATTGAAGCAACCGCGGTGGTATATGAACCGCAAGTTGTATTGAAACTCGCGGCTACTGTGTAGCAATTAGCCAATGAGTTGCTCGCTGTGCAATGAGTCGACTGGAAATTGAGCAGAAACAGTAAAATAAGGAGGATGCTGACCATGGTTGAATCAATACTCAAAATGAAAAACAATGTTCACAATACGTATGTATGCATAACGCGAGAGAAAAAGAGAGACACAGATGGTTGGTATTGTTCTCTCATTTAATTGTTTTGCTAAGACAAATATATTTCTTCTCGCTTTTTTTCTTTAGTAACAGAGCAACAACAGCCTTAAAAGTGTGAAATAAAAGCAAGATACTGCTCTCCCTTTCTTTTTAATTGCTTAGAGGAGAAAAAAGAAAAATTGAGAACTTGTTGACATGAATAGATGTACTTTCACAACATTTTAGTCATACGCGCTCTTGTTTTCAAATTTTGTCATATTTTTATTGTTCAGAGAGTGTACCAAAATACAATGCAACTCTAATCTCATTCCTAAGCTTTCTTAGTCGGAGCATAGCCCCCGAGTCGATTTTAGACATTTCTCAGATACCAACTGTTCACTGGGCTCCTCGGCTTAAGGCTCTAAGCGACCATAGAGAAGACTCATGACAACCCCGTTGTACTCTAAAATAAAAAGATGATCTAAACATTATAAATAAATAACATTTAATAATAAACGTTTAATCGCTTAAAACCAACAACTAATTGCAATTAATTGATGATTTTTTCAAAATCGCGATTAATTGTTAAAAATACCGCAATTTCGTAGACACGGGCGCTCTATACAAAAAATTAACTATCTTCTGACAGACTTTTACGTGTACTAGGAAAATAATTGTTTAGGCGTGCTTTTTCTAACGACAAATCACATCCTTTTTGTTTGACATACGGGATAGTAGCAAATAAATAAAACAAATTCTGGTCCTTCTGATACCTTTATTTCGTTACAGACTCAAATTTTCGCTCGTATTTAGAACCAAAACAAAAAACTTTCTCTTATTCAAGAATGCCAGTCCACCATTCTGCCATCCCGGAATGGCAATCCAGAAATTTTGTTCCCATTCCGCAATGTGCTTCTTACCCCTTGGTAACCCCGCAAAAGCTACGTTAAAAGTGTGAAAGAAAACCAAGATACTGCTCTGTCTTTCTGAGGAAGGACGGTCAAAGCTTTAAGGTTTATTGAATCTCATTTTATGCAGAATTTAATTCTTTATCAGACACAGTATGAACAATTTCCGAATATCATCACAAAGCTCTTGAGATATTTTTAAATTCACTTGAATCAAACCAACCTGATCTTCCATTCATTCAAGTGAATTTAAAAATATCTCAAGAGCTTTGTGATGATATTCGGAAATTGTTCATACTGTGTCTGATAAAGAATTAAATTCTGCATAAAATGAGATTCAATAAACCTTAAAGCTTTGACCGTCCTTCCTCAGAAAGACAGAGCAGTATCTTGCTTTTCTTTCATTTTTGCTTTTTTCTTTTAACGTTGCTTTTGCTGTTTTACTAAAGAAAAAAATAATTCTATAGGATCTTGAGTAAATCGTGACAAGATCCTAACCAGAAAAATCTAAGAAAGCTTAGGAATGGAATTAGCTGCATGTTACTTTGATACACTCTCTCAACAACAAAAAATGGTCATGACAAAATTTGAAAACAAGAATGTGCATGACCAAAGTGTTGTATAAGTACATCTACTCATGTCAACAAGTTCTCGATTTTTCTTTTTCTCCTCTAAGCAACCAAAAAGAAACGGAGAGTAGTATCTTGTTTTTCTTTCACACGTTTAACGTTGCTGTTGCTCTGTTACTAAAGAAAAAAGGCGAGAAGAAATATATTTTGCCGTATTACTAAAGAAAAAAATAATTCTACATAAGTTTCTAGCAAAATTCATTCTCTTTCAGAAACTGAGAACCACAGACCGGTAGCTCTTTGCCCTAAAGAGTTATGAGCAAAACATCGAAGTTCCCCGTTCATTGAAATGGATAATAGTTTGAAAAAAGATAGCCTAATAGGATTAGTTGAATTTTGTATAGAAAATGTTAATTTTCAATTTGGGAACAATTTTATAAACAGGTTAGAGATCTGCCTATGGGGGGTGTTCAATTTCGCCATTTTTAGCAGACATAGCGTTAAACGAATTTTTGCTGTATAACTGGGATTATCAAAAGTGTTCTTATATTGGATTAGCACGATATGTTGATGATATGGTGTTAGTTTCATAAATGGATAAAAAGAAAATCCAG